GATATGGATATAAATATGAACATGAATATGAATAGGAATAGAAATATGAATATGAATATGAATATAAATATAAACACGAACACGAATATAAATATGAATATAAATATGAACATGAATATAAATATGAATATGAATATGAATACGAATATATAAAATATATTATTACAAATATTAATAAAAACAAATTAGAACAGGGTGGGCTGATTGTGTTAAAATAAAACAAATATAGGATACAATAATAATTTAACGAGTTTTTCTACTTGTATTATTTTCCTTTCAATAACGTATACGCGCTCCTATGTGAAACAGAAATTAAAAAACCTTATACGTATAAATATGCAAATGCAGTGCGAATATATATTGTTTTGTGTAATTAGTAATAATAAGCATTATATGATTATAATAATTCATGTACTTATTGTTACTGTTCCTCGGTTATTCTGAAATGTTCGAAAATGGTCCATTTGTATGATCATTAAATCATTAAAAATATGATTATTCAGTATCAAGGTTGCCGATCCTTTCTATCTTCCTCTATACCATTCATCATTTTCAAACGTTATACTCTTTCCTTTAAATTCTGATTGTATTGATAATGATCACTGCTTGTGATTTTTAACACAAGCAGTGAACACGTGCAAACACATACATGTGCACCACAGAGAGATTTAAAAATAACATGTAGAATAACAGTGACTCAATAATTTCACGTATATGTATATAATACTATATTAATACAATTTTATCATTTATCAAAATGAAATATCGATAAAACACAGGTGTGCACAGATAAACTAATAATCAAACTGATCATCAGTCGTTTGTCAAACCTTTTCTGATAAATTTATCGTTTCCATTACTATTTACAAAGCTCTTAAGTCAATTATAATGGTTCATTTTCTTCGAAAAATCGTTGTACCACAGTCGTACTCGACCACACAATAAGTTTCTTGATAATCAATTTCACTTGAGAACAAAAAGAGAGCATTTGGAACACTGGAGGTTGATTCTTTCAATCAGTAACAGAACGAATGGTTAATGAATAATCATTCGTTAATGTACAATAACGAACTCGTCGAGTGTATAATAGCATAATGTATAATATTCAAAGTGTAATAAATAACTAAACATAAATACGAACGAAGAACGAAGAAGAACTAAGAAGAATATCAAAGGAGAAAGGATATAAAAATCCAAATGTATCAAATTTCCATCGAATGAAACCAGAAAATCGTGCTTGAGTTTCGGAATTATTTGCAATATGATCCAAAGCAGAATATTTATTTCATTATTATTGTATTGCCTGTTACAATTAACGCAATGCACGGAAAAATATCACTGTGTGTGGTACGGTGATTGTGGTCTATCGGATAAAGGTTTGCATCGTACGTGCGTATCAAAGGATCCTCCGAAGCCGATCTATAACGCAACAGCTGAAGAACTCCTTCGTCAGAAATGTCCACAATATTTCCAAAACTTAGGTACAGTTCCATTTCTTATTTTCACATTTACTTTCCACCGTCGCTATAACTTTAATTCTTGGTGTCACGTGCAAACTCAGACCCAAGAGGACCGGAATTATGCTGCGATTCTGATAATATTCAAACATTGGTTAATCAACTATCCATGGCGGAAAATATTTTTGGCCGATGCCCCACGTGTTTGAAAAATGCATACAAACTATTATGCGATTTGAGCTGCAGCCCTGAACAAAGTAAATTCCTGAATGTCACGAAAACAGATAAAAATTCAGAAGGCAAAGAATACGTTACAGAGATAGAAGTAAGCGAATCAGTCAAGCTTTTATTTCATTTTATGATACGATGAATGAATCTCGAAAAATTCCTGCCATTTACTCTCTGATAAACACATTATATCCATTATATCCAATTCTTTTAGGTTTATGTTGCGGAAGAATACATGAATGAAACATATAATTCTTGTAAGAATGTAGTTTATCCAGCATCTGGAAATCTAGCTATGGATTTGGCTTGTGGAGTTCACGGTGCTAGCAGATGCACTCCAAAATTGTAAGCCAACTTGTCATAGCTCCGTATGAAGCAATAATTGAATGTTTAGGTGATGTAAGAATTTTAAAAAAAATATATACAATTATAGATGGTACGAGTATCAAGGTGATCCGGATCTGAATAATTTTATAAGTTTTCGAATGATTTTTATCACGGATAGGCCGGCTTGGAACGAACCTACAAAAACATGTGACGAAAGATATGATGTAAGTCTAATGCAAGATTATACTTGCGTATAATATGTCTCCATTTTGAGTATGCCTGGCCAGATATTACTACCTTGATTTACGTTGTTATTACTATTATTTGCAGTGAAAAATGTTTAAATGAAAGTTAAACACGTCAAGGACTTATGAAGGTAGTCAACTTCGATTTTTCAAATGGAATCCTATATTTTTTTATCCACCAATCGGTGGAGCTTTTTATTCTCTAAAAAAAAAAAAAAAAAAA